AAAGTGCCTGTCCAAATTCCCCAGAACAAATTGTTCGTTTTCATTCTGGTGGACCCAGTCGCAATATAATTATAGTACTATGAAAAAAGAAATATTAGCTATTGTATTATGTATTAGTAAATTTCAAGATGATTTGCTTAATCAAAAGTTTTTAATACGAGTTGATTGCAAATTTGCAAAACATGTTTTAGAAAAGGATGTTCAAAAAATTGCATCTAAATAGATTTTTGCACGATGGCAAAGCATTTTAAGTATATTTGATTTTGATATAGAATATTTGAGAGGTAGTAAGAATTCAATCCCTGATTTTCTTACTCGAGAATTTTTGCAGGGTACACAATGGCACCCAAAAAAGACAAACAAAAAGAATCAGTCAAAAAGCCATCTGAATCTACCACCCAACCTAAGTCCTCCCAGCCGCTTCGAATCCTTCCCCCATCCATGAGTCAAAATAAGCCAGAAACACCTAAGCAGTTAGTTCCCTTTCCTGGTTGCACTCCAATCTCAGTTGTCACACCAATATCAGTTGCCAATAAATTCTCTGCCTTAGGTTCCACAGTTGGCCAAATTCGCCCCAGTTATCAGTCAACCCTAATCTCCAGTTATGATCCTTTTGCTGGTCCCTCAGTTGCCTTCAAGAAGTCATCTCCTTATTTGCCCAAAAGTAACTCTCACCTGTTTATTGTTGAGCCCATCTATGATATTCATTATGTTCCAGTTGATATAGCCAAACACTATTTTCCCCCAGGATTTCATTATATGCCACCTAGTCCATACAAATCTCTCAAGTATTATAGAGATATATTACTTGAAACCCAGTCAGTTGAAATTAAGCCTATAAAGGATCGAGATCACCCTGAGATCATCCTCTACCATTCTCTCTATATTCACAGAGTCATAAGCCAAGAATCTTTCAGTAGCCACCCTTACCAGTTGAAAACCCTTCAGTCAAAATTGCAATATAATTATTCTGATTATATTGAAGCCTGGTACTCTATCTTCCTCCACCAATCTGAGGATTTTAGCCATTCCTGGTTTATAAATTTTGACAATAAGTTCAAATGTTCTTTTCCCTACTGGTTCCTCCATTGGTGGGAAAAACATGGTCCAGTTGATGAAATTCTGCCTGTTTCAGTCCATGAGCTAATTCGTCATTTCACTAAAAAAGCCAAGTTCTCCAAAGTTTGCCAAATATGTCTACAATGATTTGCCTCTTGATCCTGTTCCGCAGCCAGTCTCCCCCACTGGTTCGACTCGACCTGCCCTCTCAGTTGAAGGAAAATCGAAGTTGGAACTTCAAGAAATTGCTCGCCAGTTAATGATTCAAGCTTCTCAAATGGATGATGATGAAGACAATGATTCTCCTTCGTCGTCTAGTTGCCAGCCCATGCAAAGCCCTACTAAACCTAAATCTTAGTATGAAGACAGTCAAGACCCCTATGATGCCTATGATCTCAATTCTGATTAGGCTCTCGGGTGCCGACACAATAGTTGCCCCGGAGAATATGATTGTGCACCCATCTGCTTTCCTGTGTCTCTACAATCATTATTCCCCGACATTTCATCCAGAGTAAAAGCAAAAGTTGCCATAGTTAAAGCAAAAGCTGCCCCAACATTTCATCTAGAGTAAAAGCAAAATTTGCCAGAGTTAAAGCTGCCCCGACATTTCATCCAGAGTGAAAGCAAAGTTATTCCTTTTAAAAAAGACAAAATTGAAAGTTGAATCGGTTCTTTTCCGTGATTCTGCAGTAACCATAGTTACTTTTGGTTATTCAACCATAGTTGTTTCTATCTATTTAAGTTGGCCTTGGCCTCAGTTGTATTCGGAACACAATTTCACACTTCAGTTTTTTAAAGATTCTCTCTAAACACTTTATAGAAATCATCTTTGTAAACACTGAGTGTTTTGTATCCGAAGATTCCAGTTGCTATCCTTTGTGAGTATAAATAAAAGTTGTTATTTTCAATTATCTCTATTTTTTAGTAATTTCATATAAGCATTATTTTTGCATATTTGCATGATTTGCTATCTGCTATCTATCTATCTGCTTCTTCCCAACTATCTCGGTTCTCCCCTTGTTTTGGTGTATATATATATATATATAGATAATGGTATTCTAAAATTACTGTAATTGTTGATGATTTTGAAATTAATACCATTGCTTTATTTGATTTTGGAGCCGATCTTAACTGCATAAAAGAAGGATTAATCCCAACAAAGTATTATATGAAATCTAAAGAATCTCTAAGCACTGCTTCTGGAAAATTATTACAATTAAAATATGAAATCCCAAAAGCCCATGTTTGTCATAATAGAGTCTGTTTTAAGACTTCGTTTGTCTTAATCAAAAACATAACTGATAAAGTCATTTTAGGATTGCCTTTTATAAGCCTTCTTTATCCCCTGCAAGTTGAATTTGATGGAGTAGTTTCTAGTCATTTAGGAGAAAAGGTTAAGTTTGAATTCCTCACCCGATCAGAATTGCATGAATTAAGAATTTTGCATAACAATATAATTGCTAAAACTACTTCGTTAATACAAGATAAGACTATCCACATTTGCCACTTACAAGAAGAAGTAAACACCAAAAGAATTGAGTCTCAATTAAATGATTCTTCTTTGCAAAAACAAATTCATAATTTTGAAAGAAAATTAATTGATTAAATATGTTCTGATTTACCTATTGCATTCTGGCATAGAAAACATCATGTAGTAAAACTACCTTACATAAAGAACTTCTCTGAAAAGAACATACCTACTAAAGCCCGTCCAATACAGATGAACCAAGAAATGGTAAGCTATTGCAAAACTGAAATTAATGAGCTATTACAAAAAAACATCATTAGGAAAAGTAGGTCTCCATGGTCTTGCCCTGCTTTTTATGTACAGAAAAATGCTGAGTTAGAACGAGGATCACCACGATTAGTCATTAATTATAAACCTCTGAATACTGTTCTAGAATGGATTAGGTACCCTATCCCTAATAAAAGAGATCTGATCAACCATTAAGAAAAGGAAGTTTCGTCCTAAAAAGAACTAGTCCAAAAAGCCAAAAGATAAGAAAATAACCGACAAAAGTAAAGTTAGATGTTATAAGTGTCAAAAGTTTGGTCACTATGCTAATAAGTGTAAAGTAAAAGATGCTATCCGACAACTGCAAATCACGGATGAAGAAAGAGCCAATTTACTTAAAGTCCTTGAAATAAGAAATTCTGAGTCTAGTGAAGATGTAACTATGATAAGTAACCCCAAGTCATCCCATTATGAGTCTTCTGATTCCCAACCATGTTCACCAAATATTCAAATAAGCTGTAAAGATAAATGTTGTAATATTCTTAAGTCTTCAAGATTAACTGGAAAGCCCTAGATAAACACCTTTATGATCCTAGTAATAAAAGCAGAAGAGATATATATCACCAAATTATTCCGGAAACCTCTGAATACTGTTCTAGAATGGATTAGGTACCCTATCCCTAATAAAAGAGATCTAATCAACCATTTAAGCAATGCTGTCATCTTTTCTAAATTTGATTTAAAGAGTGGTTTTTGGCAAATACAAATTGATGAATCTGATAGATATAAGACTGCTTTTGTTACTCCTTTTGGTCACTATGAGTGGAATGTTATGCCATTTGGACTTAAGAATGCTCCCAGTGAATTTCAGAATATAATGAATGAGATTTTCAATCCTTATAGTCACTTCTCTATCGTTTACATTGATGATGTTCTTATCTTTTCTAGATCTATAGAACAACACTGGAAACACTTGCATAAATTCCTACAAATTGTCAAAACTAATGGATTAGTTGTCTCTGCTAAGAAGATTAAATTATTTCAAACTAATATTAGATTCCTTGGTTTCAATATTAGTCAATCACAAATACATCCGATAGATCGAGCCATACAATTTGCAGACAAATTCCCTGACCAGATAACTGATAAGAACCAACTACAAAGAGTTTTAGGATCCCTTAATTATGTTTCTGATTTTTATAAAAACCTAAGGAGTCAGTGTAAGCCTTTGTATGATAGGTTACAGATTTTCTGGGGGTCAGTTTTATCACAAATAGGCTTAATATCAACATATTTGGTCTCATGGAGTATTTCTCGGTAGAACTTAAGAGATTTGTACGGACTGGTCTTAGGTTCGGAAGGAAATAACTTATCAACCTTATTTTCTATTGTATCTAATTGTTGTTGGGGAAAATCACGATACACAGACTCAGAAATACAATGATTGGGACTCATTGTCGTCTTCATCATCTTGCATCTGGGAGGCTTGAAGTAGAAGTTGCTTGGCTATATCCTGTAATTCAGTTTGTTCACCAAATATTCAAATAGGCTGTAAAGATAAATGTTGTAATATTCTTAAGTCTATTTTTGTCTTAACTAAGCAAGAAGAACAAGAAGAATTATTAATAGAACTGATTAGTAAGGTAGAACATCCTGAGCTAAAATCTGAATATTTAAAAAAACTAAAGAAAATTATGATTCAAGAAAATAGCATACGTCAGCCCTCTTCTTCCACTATAAGTCTTCATACAACCTTAGTAAGGTTAAAACTATATATATAGGAAAAGTTGTTGAAATAGCCGTTAAAAAGAAAGGAAAAAATTGCAGAAATTCTGACTGCTAGCCGTTGCTGCCCTTCAAATTTCAGCTCTTAGATTGTATTCAACTTCAAATCTGGGCGGTCCAAATTAATAGCCATTAGATTAAATATATGCTTTGTTTAGTTACCGTTGGTTGCTTTGAATGGCATTGGCAGCCTTTAGATTTCCGTTGGAATCAAATCTCAGCCACAAATTAGGTGACCCTTGGAGCTGACCAATTCCCCAGTTTATTTTTGGCTGAAGCGAGGATGGCCTAAACTCTTTGAATTGTTTTAAAGACTCGGGCTGGGCAAGAATTTATAGAGATCATACTTCCGACTACGAGACAAAAAAACAAAAGAGAGGATAAAGACTTAACATACCATTCTTTTGGTTGCATCAAAGAACAGTTGAAAATTTGATCCTACGTACTTGCCATTCAAAAAATCTCATTCATTTAGAAATTTAAAAGTAGAATAACAGAGAGCGAGATTTGTTAAATGTCCAACAATTGATTTCCCAATATAAGTAACTAAATCAAGCTGTTCTTAGAGGAGGTGAAGCAAGGATGACCCCGTCTCCTCTGACAAAGAGAAAGGGAACAGTCCGTTTTTTCGTCTGCAATGGAAGAAGAGGAAAAAAAAGGTCATCATCTAAAACAGGACCAAGCGAGTAACAACAGCCGAAACATACCAGACCAAGCAAGTAAGGATCTATGTTAAAACCAAACGCAATACAATATAGTTGATGAAAAACCAAACAAATATTTATCATCATTTTGTACCTTTTCTTCGTTAATTACGTTTTAGGGTTTGATTGTCTATATCAATGTTAATATTTCAATACACAACCATGTATTTCATGAATCAGCTCCAACCCATTCTCAATGGTAATGCCTCGAGCTAAAAGCAATTTATTTGATATGTTGTTTGGTTATGAATTGTAAAAGACAAAATAAGATAACTTATATAGTTTCACTGCAGTCATCTTTTGATGATAAGATAAATGAATGGCAACTTAAACTCACTCAGGAGCAGATGTGACCTATCAAGGGTTCAATAGACAGAATCCACACAATTTTTTTTTTCATATCTGGCTGAAAAAATAAATTTCCATTGGCAGAAGTTTTCCAAAATTTAGCAAAGTCCACAGTGGTAATGCAGAAACATTCAGATCTAGGTAAGCACTCCCACAGGTAATAAAGAGTATTGCCTCTGGAACAACCTGAGGGTACCGTCACTACAGCAGTTCTATCCCATGGTTTAAAGTTACAATTTTTATTTATTTATTTATTTATTGGTTTTTCATGCAATTTACTCCACCAGGAAAACAATATTACAAATTAAAATTTATTGGAAAATAAATGAACTAAATTTAAAAATTAAATTAAAAATTGTGATGAAGACAACAGAATGTGAGTCACATACCCGGACAATCTCTTCATAAGTTTCATCATCAATTTCTACAGAAGTAACAACTTCTTCAACATCACCAAGAATCATATTCAAGTGTTGATCATAAGCCTGCAAAGCCAGATTTGAAACAAAATAAGAATCAGACACTAAGCTTTATAACCACAATCATATGTAACAATTAGCAGAACCAGCTGACATAATTGTAAACATACAAGAAACTTTCTCATTCACCCTCCCACCTCTCCTAATCCCTAATGTCATTGCATCAAGTTCGACAATTGGTCCTCGCATAACAACCTTCTGAACCAACAACTTGTAATTTTTCTTTTCTGTCCTTTAGGACATATTATTCATTGTTTGATTAGAAGTACTTTTGAGGAACATGCAAACAAAGGTGAAGGGGAAAAGAAAGATGATTTGGAAAGCATCAATGGTTGGCTTAGCATAACTCTTATGACAATAGCAATGCTGGCTAAGAAGTATTGCTTACTCAAAAAGTCAACAGAATCACCCAAGAATAAGAAAAAAGAGGATTTACCTCTGAAAAATAATAAAGATGGCTACAGATTTCTTATACAGCCACACATTTTGCCTCGATCAGTTAATGGGAGAATATAGTAGGGTATAATTTCATGATAAGATGAGCCAAAGAGCAAACTAAATAATCACTCTAGAATTGATAAACTATTTAATATTAACCACCAATAGACCACCATCATCAGTTCCATAATCATAGCAGTGTCAAAGTAACCACTGTAAGTATCTTTCCATACTCAACAAGCTCCAACATTTGAAAGAAAATTTAAAACTTACAAAAAACAAGAAGCAAAAATACTTAGAATTGCAATAAAATGAAAAGACTCGAGTTCATTCATTCATATGACTTTTCTCAATCAACCCAAACGCAAAAACAGACAATTATAGAAAATGCATTAAAAAAAAAGGTTATGGCTTTTCCTTGGAAAATAATAAAAGAAAACAGATATTGTATACTTTACGCATATCATCTAATTTCCATTCACCACTTAACACTAAAGCAGCATACTTTAAACCCTAAACTTTCTTTTCTCTTCATTTTTAGTTTTTGCCAAATCTAGAACCCTAATTAGAACAACTCAGAAAGTAGACAAAACCTAATTTAGAGCAGAGTAAGAGGCATGGTGGGGGTGTGGAGACGTACATGGAGTTTACCGCGGAGCTCACGGTCGGACCGGAGCTTGACGTAGATGCGCTCGTCGAGGCTGAGCCGTATCAGATCCAACGGCTCCTTCACGGCACTCTCTTCCTCACTGGCCATCTCTTAGTTTGCTCAGAAAGCAATTCAATATCTCCAATGGGTACCTGTTTGCCGCGCTCACAGGTTAATGAACAACCCACAAACCAAAATCAAAATCGAAACCCCCAAAAACCCAAAATAATATCACAATTAATTAGCCCTTCCAGCCTAAATCAAAAACCCCAGAAACCAAAACCAACACTGTAATTAATTAGCCCTATTTAAAAAATCTGAAAACCCAAATCATTGCATAACTCTAACTTTGAGCTTGTAAGAATCACGAACTATAGGAAGAGAGAGAAAAGTGGTTGCCTTGAACTCGAAATAAAATTGGAAAGCCCGAGCAGCTCCAGCTGACGTCGAAGAAATATCTTCAAGCGGATGGCGTCGCTGAATCGGAGCTGTTGAGCGTCGCAATGGTGTTGAGGGAACTGAACTGAGGATTGGGGCTGTTCTCTCGGCAAGGAATAGTAAAGGGAGTGTGTAGGGATATTTTCAAGAAAAATGGAGTCAAATAACACATTAGGGATATTTTCAGTTAAACCCTCTGAGGTCTGGCATAATTACGACCGTACCTCAAAGGTTTCATTTATTCCATTTATACCCCTCATTTCTAACATCTGGGTTCCTCCCTTAATATATGTTTCTGTAAGTCCACGTCCAAAGAGCTATCAATCTATCTTTATATTATGCTCATGCTTTGTTGGTGGAAATAATGCATCGTATAAAGAAATGAAGGAAACAAAAATTTGAAAGCCATGAATGAAAATAAAATCCAAACATTTATTCCTTTATTTCATCGTCTGCATTACAAATTCTTGACATCAACAATGTGTGTCAAGATCCAGGATAAATTTATTTCTTCTCTATTATTGGGAACTATATGTATACTATCATAACATATAAGATCCCATTATACATATATATGCTTATGATGGGCAGAATGTGATGAGGTAGTCAGGTCTACCACTGCATGTAAAGGTGCTGCTCTTGTCATCATAAGCATAGCTATAAGCTTGAGGGCACTGGTCCTTGAAGATCTTAGAGTACTCAGTGGGAGGGCATGTCTCCGGCTTGTCGTTAGGGGGAGTGCAACAGTATTGTGGCTGGTTGAATGCTAAGCAAGCGCTCTTGCACGCAATTACGCTTCCATCAGATCCCTTCACTTGCAACTGAGCCGGGCACACCGCGTTAACATCGGCAGGGCAAGTTGAGGCCTTACACTCGCCGGTGCCGCCTTGTGGAGCCACGGACATAGGCAAGTTGAAGCCGTCAACAAGACTAACATCGTAGAAATCTTGACCCCCGTTCTCAGCAATAGTGATTTCTACTAATGTAGCTGGCGGAGCTGCGCCGTTACCGTTGCATGAGACTTGGCCAGAGCCACAATCTGCTGTGGCACAAGTGAACTTTCCTGACGCGTCCGTGGAGCACCTGGTTCGGCCAAAGAAGCGACCGGACCATGGGGACGGAGCGTCCACAAAGTTGCTAATTCCGGTTGCTAACTCGAACCCGGTGAGTGATAATTGAGGTTTTTGGTCACCGGTTAGGGTTCCTGGCCAGACAGTGTAGGAACATTTGTTTGTGAAAGTGATTTTAGCTGCATGTGCACCTGCATATTCAAGAACGTGATCATAAGAATACAGATTACAGAGACAATTGTAAAAATAAACTTTTGATTGATATCTGATCACCTAACAAAGTTTGTATAATATTATACCTGAGAAGAAGAGGATGGCCAAGGTGGTGAGGCCGAGGAGAGCTGCTTGGCTCTTCATCATCGTCATGGAAATGTCTTAATTGGCTTGCTGTTGCTCTTGCTGATAAACTTAATTAACTTCTAACTGGGTGAGGAGGATACGATGATGAACTTGGGTGCCAAGGGGTGCTTTATATAGGGCTTGTAGCGTGCCTAACTTTTGATCTTTTCTTGCTATTTTGATTACGGGTCTAAGCTGCCATGGTAACACGTAAACAGGACCCTAAGGAAACTAACAAATTACTCATAATATTTGGTCCTAGATGTCGTCATTGACAATAAAGTCCCCTGTTTACATTATCCCAAAAAATAAGTATTACAGAAAATTCAAATCCAATCCAGAAAAAGTAAAGTCATCATATGAGCCAGTAATTAAGTGTAGAAAAAGTGAATTGGAAAAACATGTCTAATTATAAGGGGTTAACTTAGTCACAGACGCACATGTAAACTAGAAATGTGATAACTATTAAATGGTTTCTAGTCACATATAAACATTAATAGAGAAGTTATTAAAAGATCTTTTAGAGGCTAATAGGGTCTGTAGTCCAGTAGAAAATTACCTTAATTTGCGGATAAGTGGTGTCACGTTCGAACCGCATAGAGAAAAAAACAAAAACTTCTAGAGAGATTTGGATTAAACCCAATAGATGATAGGTCATCAATACTAGGCAACGGGTCATAAACGCTTAGTCCCTGTTTACACAAGTGATAACTTCATAGGTTTATTTGTAACAGCTGGTACTTTGAATACTGGCACGAGTACATATTACTTGCAAACATAAAAAAAAAAAAAAGTAGATATTAATTTAGATAATGAAACCCAAGAAATGTCAAATTGGCAAGACTGGGAGAATTGGAAGACTGCCAACCACATGAAATTAAAACGTTGATTAAGAACATTCGTGACTTTGAGAAACAGTCCATATACACAACTAGGCGCGCGCCACGTAACCATTTTCATAGCGTGATTGATGGCCCAGGCTGCCGTGAAGGAGGAGAAGAAGATGCATGGAAGCCGAGTACAATTAATGAGGGAGAAAAGTAAAACAAGGAAGGAAAACTAACATTTCCCTTCATTTTTTTCTTTGGAGTGTCAGCTTCAATTTTCCTCGTCCTCCCATCCATTCAAAGGATTTTTTGTTTGTTTTATCTTTTATTTCGAATTGATTACGCTTACGTAAAATTACTTCAAAGGATAAGTACAATGACAATTTGATACGTGTCTAGAAGTTTTTTTTTTTTTTAATTTTATTTTATGAATTATTTTGACACGTACCGTAATTTACAAATATCTTCTTCCAGAAAAGGAGACAATAAGGAAAGGAGACCTTTTCCAAAACGATTATTTTTATTTCTTCAAAAGACCATTTCAAGAACTCACCAATATCATACAGTCATTGAACCATTTGATTATTTTAGTGTTTTTTTGGCATTACCATTCTCTTGTATTTATTTAAGAGTAATGTTACACTTACCACATTTTTATCCCACATTTCTATACCACATGATGTGGCATGTCCATTTTATATGCCACATCAATTAAATCAATGAAGTGCATTTTAATTAAGGCAATTAGAAAAACAAATACTGGAATAAACCATAAAAGAAAAGAAAATATTAAATCATTTTAATTGATGTGACTGTCCACCTCAGCTGCCACATAAGGTGGTATGAGAATGTGGTATACAAATGTGGTAAGAGTAGCATTATTCTTTATTTAATCAAAATTAGATGTCTTAAAAGCTTATGACTAGTCTAATTTTATTTTTCCAAAGATCTATCAATAAGATTCAAAATAACCATATGCTGTCTACAAAATAACAGAGTACAACACAGAAAATGTTCGGAATGATGTCGTAAAGACAATCTGCCTCCTTGCTGATGTGAAATCAGCACATCCGTCTGTTAAATTTATACTCTGAAGAAGTCATGATTCAGGCCCCCTCATATATTTCATAAAAGCAAATAAGCTTAAATAACTCTTCATGCATTCACTTCGGGTCTATCCTTCCTTTTTCCCCTACGTGGATCATTAACATCCTGTTTTTGCTGTTCAGCCTTCTTCTGAGCTCGGACCATGGCTCGTCTTGTACGTGGTCGCATTTCCCTAACTTGCCGAGGGGGCATCAGATACGGTTCAAGGGGCCGATCACCAAAGGGGTGTTCACCGCCAACAAATATCCTCAGCTTTCTATCTCTATCCTGCATCCAAATTAAAGGAATGCTGTAAGATAATTTACTAGACCAGCAAATAATTATATGCATTTGCCAGGTCAGAGTTGGAAGGATCCTGCAAGTGAAGTAACTGCAATCTAGTAAGGTCCTATCTAGCTTGGGCAACCTTAGAGTTGATGCTACCATAGTGTTATAAACTAAAACGTAACAGAAGAAAAGCTACTACCATAAAACTTACGTCACGCAATTTGTTCCTTGGGAGCATACGTAATACAGCTTTGCGAATGACTTCCGTAGGGTCCTTGGCCATCTGATCCTTTAAAGTCCTTTCCTTGAGGTGACCTATATACCTACAGGCCATATATGATTCAACATCAAGACCAAAGACAAGGACGACGTTATTTAGAGGGTATTAGGAAACATCATGAATCAATTCTATTCATTTCCTTTGCTCATTCATATAATTATTGACTAAACTTGAGGATTCCCACAACTGAATTAAAAGACTAATTTTTCGATTAATCTGATGTGGGGATAAGTTTAGAACTAAAATATAGACATATAATATTATATTAAAGGACTAGTTTGCTGATTTCAATGAATTTTAAGGGGACAGACTTTCTCATTAAAACAAAAAGGTTCAAAGCTCAAATGAAGACTGTCGCACTATACTAATCATACAACAAGATTTGAATGCTCTTATTTTCACGAAGTTCCCCTTCGTTGTAGAACTGAAAACTTTTCACAAAAGTAATTCTAAAACTACTGCACTTACCCAGTATGCCAATGATAAACCTTATCAGTTAGTTTTCTCCCAGTGACACAAACATCCTTTGCGTTAAGCACGATGCACATATCACCATCATCTCGGTTTGGAGCATATGTTGGTTTATCCTTCCCTTGAATCACAGTTGATATTTGAGATGCTAGTCTTCCAAGAACCTAAAAAGAAGGGTACATGGCCATTATTTTTCTGCAAAGGTTGCTACTTCAAGTAACTGATATGCCAACAACTGAACGATGCAATTCCACCAAGTTCAGAATTCATCAAAAACTGGATCAAGAAGCCATTTGCTTCAGCATACACCCTCTGCAAATCTAATTTCATAAAATTTCACTTATTCATCTCAATATTCGTAGCCCCAAGAAGTATTAGAAAATAAAGCACAAGGACTTGTTTTCAAAATTAATTTTGAAAACAAAAATGAAAAACGATCTCCTACCCCAACCCCTTCAATGCTACCATAAATAGTATAAAAACTATAAACAACAACCTGGCCTTTCGCATCAAATACTTTCCACCGCAACCCATCAAGATCAATACGCCTCAGGCCGGCAAGAGCTTTCTGTATGAATGCCAAAGCAAATATTCTGTTACTGATTGTGCACACTGAGTTAAAGAAAAAATTCTCTCAGTACATTTCACAAACATCAAATAGGCTTCCGTTAATATACTAATTTAGGGCTCGGTGAGGTTTGGAAACAAACAATGGATGAGTTCTATAAGTATCGAGACTGGAATAGGCACAGAAATTAACCATTAAAGATCATGAA